TGGACCTCTCCCAGATTTGTTCATTTCGTGATGTTCATTCTCTAATTTTGATGAATATTTTTGGTAAAATGTTATATTTTTGACTTCTTGTTAAAACTGCCAGTATGATTGTTTTGATATTACATATAGGTACGACATTTGTATCTCTCTTAGATTTGTTCATTTCGTGATGATATCTTTAATTATCTAGTTTTGATAAATATTTTTGTCATTTTTGGTAAAAAGTCCTATTTTCGAATTCTTGTTAAAAACAGCAAGTCCGATTGCTGAGATACTATACATATTGCTCATTTTCTAATGATATCTTAAGTTCTTTAATTGAAATGTGCATTTCTCACAGCAGAGCTATCTCAGCTGACAGGCTGCTTCTACAAAATTGGATTGCATGCTGCATATCTAATAGATTTTCATATGCTAATGAGTGAACAATATTCAAATTAGGTTAGGCTAACTTTACATGATTCTTATGAAGATCTAATATTATGAAAAGAAGTTTGAGAAGTTTCACCACTTGGTTTTCAGGGCTTACAGGCAATTGACTCAGATGTTGAGTCCAATCCTCTACTTAGTGGAAATAGTCCCTGTGCAATCGAGTTTCCTACTACCAGTAAAGATGACAGTGGTTCCTCGGCAGCTCTTGAAAAGGAAACTGCTGTTGTCAATCAACCTGAAATGACAGTCGCTAGAAGAAGACTGTCCCCTGGTTCATGGCAGGGGCAGATGAAAATATCACTTTTCAAGAAAGCCAGAGCCGTGTTTTATGTGATGGGAAATATTGGTATGCGTTCGAACAATTACGGGGAAGTTTTACGAAATTTGCAGCTGTCATTGATGTGTCATAGTGAGTATCCAAATATGCAGATTTTATCTTGTCTTTTTATTCATAGATAAATGCAACAAACAGGGGAACATGTCTGTCCTCGTTGTTGTTGTTGTTATTGTTGACTTCATCATGAAACTTGCAGTTACATTACCGATAACTAAAACAGTTTTTATCCTTATTTATTCTTTCAAACTTTGATTATAGTGTATGTTCTATGTTTATTTTTCAAGATATTCATTAAATTTCAGGTTTTCTATAGTTACAATAACTCTGATCATCTTAAAATTTGGAAATCGTACATTGTATCAATTGCTATGAAACAGCCACTGGTGGCGCTGTATACAATCAAAACCTATTGAGGCTTGCCTACACTCATTCAGGCCAGAAACAGTTGATAAATTTGGTGACCAGTTTAGTACGATAGGAAGTGTGTACATTCTTCAATTTACCACAATAGACAAGAGTGGGGGTCATGACTGAATATACGTGATTCCGGCTTTTCATAATAAATGCTTTCCAATAATA